ATTTCAAGAAATCTCAAAATCAAATTTCCTGAATTTCGCTAAAAGGACCTGTGTCTATAAGGATTGACTTTTCCTCCGTGCTTTTTCTCAAATATAGGATTGTTATATACCATTGTGATCGGGATAATGCCTACAATGCTAATATAACCATGTTGGAAGAAAACAAACTAATTCAGTTTACTAATAGAAGGCGCTTTTTTGGGGCATTTTGAAGGTTTTATCCCTTTTTGAGGTTTTTTAGTTCATTGAGAAGCCTAATAGCGCATATCATATTAAAGGGCTGTATATTAGCTGAACAATGCTACCAAAATCGTGACATTTTGAAGCAATTTTGGTGTTTTGGGGGCGAGGCCACTGTGCCAAGTACCCCGAATTCCATTCTCCCGTGCCATTCAATTGTTTTCGGGGCAGTTTTGAATGAACCTTTGTTTCTTCCTACCAATATGACGTCATAAGATGCATTTGAACGCCTTGGCATGGATATCACTTGAAAGATAGTAGAAATCGCTTTCCAATGATACCCCATATGGCCATGTTCACCTCAGTTGGGTGTACTCAATCTGTGATGCAATCTGTAAGGTGTACCCCCACCCCAAAGAAATTTCAAGAAATCTCAAAATCAAATTTCCTGAATTTCGCTAAAAGGACCTGTGTCTATAAGGATTGACTTTTCCTCCGTGCTTTTTCTCAAATATAGGATTGTTATATACCATTGTGATCGGGATAATGCCTACAATGCTAATATAACCATGTTGGAAGAAAACAAACTAATTCAGTTTACTATTAGGATATAGTCCTGAGTAAGGACATTAGCGGTTACCGTTAGTGATTTGGTTTTCTGAATAAAAAGTCATTTTCTCCTTCCCTACCCCATTGGAGCGCCATCTAGCGTTTGGGAAGTGAATCGGGACTAAATATTTATAGGGTAGGTCCTAATTTATCTGAAAACATGTCAGAGTTCAGTGGGAAATCTCATTTTAAGCTGGCGGCGGAGTGATTTTGACCTTGGTGATTTTACCAGAATTCTCTGAGAAATCTGACGATAGAGGGGGTTAGTGTCTTCAAGTTTATTTATTTCAAAAATTCGGTGGACAACCCATGGTAAGATTGTTATAGCAGGCTAGGCGAGTCTCTCCCGAACACTGTGGTATGTTGCACTAGGCTTGGATACTAATCGTTAATAAGATACAGGGTAAAATGTTATAATGGCCACCTATGGGAAACTCTACTGTGATCTTCAACCTAATAGAAGGCGCTTTTTTGGGGCATTTTGAAGGTTTTATCCCTTTTTGAGGTTTTTTAGTTCATTGAGAAGCCTAATAGCGCATATCATATTAAAGGGCTGTATATTAGCTGAACAATGCTACCAAAATCGTGACATTTTGAAGCAATTTTGGTGTTTTGGGGGCGAGGCCACTGTGCCAAGTACCCCGAATTCCATTCTCCCGTGCCATTCAATTGTTTTCGGGGCAGTTTTGAATGAACCTTTGTTTCTTCCTACCAATATGACGTCATAAGATGCATTTGAACGCCTTGGCATGGATATCACTTGAAAGATAGTAGAAATCGCTTTCCAATGATACCCCATATGGCCATGTTCACCTCAGTTGGGTGTACTCAATCTGTGATGCAATCTGTAAGGTGTACCCCCACCCCAAAGAAATTTCAAGAAATCTCAAAATCAAATTTCCTGAATTTCGCTAAAAGGACCTGTGTCTATAAGGATTGACTTTTCCTCCGTGCTTTTTCTCAAATATAGGATTGTTATATACCATTGTGATCGGGATAATGCCTACAATGCTAATATAACCATGTTGGAAGAAAACAAACTAATTCAGTTTACTAATAGAAGGCGCTTTTTTGGGGCATTTTGAAGGTTTTATCCCTTTTTGAGGTTTTTTAGTTCATTGAGAAGCCTAATAGCGCATATCATATTAAAGGGCTGTATATTAGCTGAACAATGCTACCAAAATCGTGACATTTTGAAGCAATTTTGGTGTTTTGGGGGCGAGGCCACTGTGCCAAGTACCCCGAATTCCATTCTCCCGTGCCATTCAATTGTTTTCGGGGCAGTTTTGAATGAACCTTTGTTTCTTCCTACCAATATGACGTCATAAGATGCATTTGAACGCCTTGGCATGGATATCACTTGAAAGATAGTAGAAATCGCTTTCCAATGATACCCCATATGGCCATGTTCACCTCAGTTGGGTGTACTCAATCTGTGATGCAATCTGTAAGGTGTACCCCCACCCCAAAGAAATTTCAAGAAATCTCAAAATCAAATTTCCTGAATTTCGCTAAAAGGACCTGTGTCTATAAGGATTGACTTTTCCTCCGTGCTTTTTCTCAAATATAGGATTGTTATATACCATTGTGATCGGGATAATGCCTACAATGCTAATATAACCATGTTGGAAGAAAACAAACTAATTCAGTTTACTATTAGGATATAGTCCTGAGTAAGGACATTAGCGGTTACCGTTAGTGATTTGGTTTTCTGAATAAAAAGTCATTTTCTCCTTCCCTACCCCATTGGAGCGCCATCTAGCGTTTGGGAAGTGAATCGGGACTAAATATTTATAGGGTAGGTCCTAATTTATCTGAAAACATGTCAGAGTTCAGTGGGAAATCTCATTTTAAGCTGGCGGCGGAGTGATTTTGACCTTGGTGATTTTACCAGAATTCTCTGAGAAATCTGACGATAGAGGGGGTTAGTGTCTTCAAGTTTATTTATTTCAAAAATTCGGTGGACAACCCATGGTAAGATTGTTATAGCAGGCTAGGCGAGTCTCTCCCGAACACTGTGGTATGTTGCACTAGGCTTGGATACTAATCGTTAATAAGATACAGGGTAAAATGTTATAATGGCCACCTATGGGAAACTCTACTGTGATCTTCAACCTAATAGAAGGCGCTTTTTTGGGGCATTTTGAAGGTTTTATCCCTTTTTGAGGTTTTTTAGTTCATTGAGAAGCCTAATAGCGCATATCATATTAAAGGGCTGTATATTAGCTGAACAATGCTACCAAAATCGTGACATTTTGAAGCAATTTTGGTGTTTTGGGGGCGAGGCCACTGTGCCAAGTACCCCGAATTCCATTCTCCCGTGCCATTCAATTGTTTTCGGGGCAGTTTTGAATGAACCTTTGTTTCTTCCTACCAATATGACGTCATAAGATGCATTTGAACGCCTTGGCATGGATATCACTTGAAAGATAGTAGAAATCGCTTTCCAATGATACCCCATATGGCCATGTTCACCTCAGTTGGGTGTACTCAATCTGTGATGCAATCTGTAAGGTGTACCCCCACCCCAAAGAAATTTCAAGAAATCTCAAAATCAAATTTCCTGAATTTCGCTAAAAGGACCTGTGTCTATAAGGATTGACTTTTCCTCCGTGCTTTTTCTCAAATATAGGATTGTTATATACCATTGTGATCGGGATAATGCCTACAATGCTAATATAACCATGTTGGAAGAAAACAAACTAATTCAGTTTACTATTAGGATATAGTCCTGAGTAAGGACATTAGCGGTTACCGTTAGTGATTTGGTTTTCTGAATAAAAAGTCATTTTCTCCTTCCCTACCCCATTGGAGCGCCATCTAGCGTTTGGGAAGTGAATCGGGACTAAATATTTATAGGGTAGGTCCTAATTTATCTGAAAACATGTCAGAGTTCAGTGGGAAATCTCATTTTAAGCTGGCGGCGGAGTGATTTTGACCTTGGTGATTTTACCAGAATTCTCTGAGAAATCTGACGATAGAGGGGGTTAGTGTCTTCAAGTTTATTTATTTCAAAAATTCGGTGGACAACCCATGGTAAGATTGTTATAGCAGGCTAGGCGAGTCTCTCCCGAACACTGTGGTATGTTGCACTAGGCTTGGATACTAATCGTTAATAAGATACAGGGTAAAATGTTATAATGGCCACCTATGGGAAACTCTACTGTGATCTTCAACCGATAACACCCTTTATGGTTATGTGCCTTTCCAATGTGGACCTCCATTGATATTTGTTTGATCCGAGATAGGACTCCTGTATTGTGCATATCCTTTATTACTTCCCATTCGCTTCCTTCGACATCTATTTTAAACACGTCAATTATAGTCTAAAATGCATCGGGGATTAACATACTGTATTGAATCTAAGGTTTTTATCATTAATATAGATGTATCACGTCAATTATTGTCTAAAATGGAAATCAAACTACAGTAATGCATCGGGGAATTAACATACTGTTTTGAATCTAGGGTTTTTATCATTAATATAGATGTATCACGTCAATTATTGTCTAAAATGGAAATCAAACTACAGTAATGCATCGGGGAATTAACATACTGTTTTGAATCTAGGGTTTTTATCATTAATATAGATGTATCACGTCAATTATGGTCTAAAATGGAAATCAAACTACAACAACTAATTCCAAAAAAATCAGAAAATTAACATACTTCCTTAAATCTAGGCTTTTATTTCTAAAATAAAATTATGGAATATGCCCTCGGTCAATATGATATTTTCCTTGGCCAATATCATATTAACCTCGGAAAAAAATTCAAATTTCATCCATCCAATTAAATAACCTCTATTTATATATCATTAATATAGATGGTGTCTGTTCTTGTACACTCTTTTTTGGTGTATCACCACAAGTTGAGGTTAGGTAGGGACATTTTGGATGATAGGCACATATAATGTCGACAGAAAGATGGCAGTAGTTGTATCTTTATATATGTTTCCTTTTTATGTCCTCGCTGTCATCTTTCAATCCACCTTGTAACTACTATAGTACTATATTGCAATCTAAGCTTGTATTCGCAGAGGCAACTGACACCAGGACCTGTTGAATACCGATTGGCCTACAATTTTATTGGCAAGTCTTTTAGCTATGAATAGTACCTGCCATTGTTCCATTTATAATCAAATGAGTTCGCCATCGAATAGTAGGTTTAATCGGTAGTCGACAGCCCAAAGTTCATTCGCGAATAAAAGCTAAATGTGATTTTGTTTAAATACCTTTCATGACATTAAAAGTCTCCTGGAATACGAATAGTACATTCCCAATTCTAACTAAAATTAATTATTTATTTTCTCGATTTCGTTTTGTGTGCAAATATAAGCGATTGGGATACCCATGCTTGTTTTCTTGGAAAATCTCCAGAACGGTCTTCGTTCTATATTTGTCGGACAATCTACTTTTTTCGCCTTTGATACCAGTGTTGAAAAATGCACATGTTGTCCTCGTATGTGGTCTTCTAACCCTATCCTGGTAAATGTAAAATCCACGTAAATACACATGCAATCTATATACAGGATGTGAAATGATAATGTTCTCATTTCTAATTCTTGAACATTTGTTTTGTAACTATACTTCTTTCATTACTGAAATTTCTATTGAAATATTCCGCATTGAGTGAAGACTGACATAGCCTACAGAGCTCATCATAAATAAATGTAATCTTGATTTTCTATCACCATTCCCAGACAATGGTGGTTTTAGACTTCATACTTTCCAGTAATGTCTAAATAGATATCCCTTAAGTTTAACATATTTTACATTGTTTATACTCTCAACTACTAAATTATTATCCTCACGTCAGCAAAGTGTCATTTATTTATGGTGAGCACTCCTCTAATATCTCCAATATAAAAGGATCCAGTTCAACATATAAATAGTTGTAGCCCTTCTTGTCGTTTTTATCAACAAATTGTTGTCTAAAAGTCATTTTGAAAGGAAAAATGTAATGTATTAACATTCAATGAAAGTTCTTTTTCGGGTTCTTTTTCAGGTTTTTCATTAACAACTCTCGAGCCTTTCCTGAACTAGATCCTAGTTAAGTTCCAGAATTCTGTTTTTGCTGTTTGGTGGTTATACGTTAGTACTCAAAAGCTCAATTTATTCCAAGGGGAGGTGCGCCTACATCTCTAAATGAGTCCAAATATTATCCATATTTTTCTCCGGAGAACATAGACCTTCTTTTCATGTCACCCTTGATCAAAAACATTAACATCAAGTATCCATTGACTGACTTACGTTGGATCATATGAATAAACTTCACAGGTTTCTGCAATCTCGTCATCGAAGCTGAAATCTCTCCCGATCCTACAACAAAATGTTAAAGATGGATTAACCTGATTGTAAACACCAAACATTGACAAAACATGTCTATCTTAAACATGATTTTATCTGTCTCACATCATTTAAGACTGAATACTCTACCTTTTATGAGTACTAGTATCTACAACTATTTTTGATGTAATGAGTATTGGCTATAAATGTTTTCAATTTTTCTTCAACCTGTATTGTAATGACTTCAGTATGAATGAAATGTCCATTGGTGTTCTTGTCCTGGATTGTGATATTGGTTCTCGATTGGAGGAGGAGGGGGATGTTAGACATTGTTTCTTTTCACGTTAGATCATGGTTTTGGGATATATATGTTAGGGTCTACTTTTCTTATGACAGATTTACACTTACAGTTTGCTTTACTTGTTGGGTTTCTTTAAAGTTTTTAGTCACCCTTCCTTTTGGTATTTGCGCTTATACATTAAAATAAATATTCGATCGTTAACGTTCTGTCAACATTCCCAGCAATCTTTTAATGCAGCTATACATAAGCATTATTTACTAGGAGGGTTCATTCCGATGGGAATACAAATATACCCCGGTAGATAAACACTGCATCCAGATCCGACCAAACATAACAGATATACAACATACTTTCCAAGGTTCTACATTCTAAGGTCCAAAAAATTAAAAATTACTTTTTTAGTATCATTTTTTTCTTTGAACTTTATCTGTGAACTTATTTGAACAAACTTTTTCAAAAATATTGCATATCAACAGATTTAAAATTAAATCAAGATGAATGATAAAAAATTTAAAAAAATAATACTATTTTTGCAAAAGGGCTGAAGAATGAATTGGGGAGTTTCTTCATTCATTCCGCTTATGTTTTTCATCTTAAAAACAGGAATACACTTTAAAACGTTTTATTAACTACAGGGTGGGCCAAAAAAAACGCCACTTTTTTTCAAAATGCTATAACTTTTTAAATTTTTGATACAAAATCATAATTTGCATACCAAATGAAATTTGAGGTTGTTATCTAGCCATGGATCATGAATTATACACTTTTACTTGAATAAAATATGTCACCAGCGTCTCACTTAAACATGTGGTGTGCCATGAGAAATAAGCATAATTTGCAAAATGTTCCTGAACTGATACGCCCTGATGACCGCCAAGCTAATAGCCCTAATGCAAACCCCAGTGAGTATAGGGTATGGGAAGGTCTCCAGGAGATGGTATGAAGGCACCCAATTTAAAAAATTGCTCAACTAAAGCTGGCAACTAATACACGTTGAAAAATATATAGCTAACATTTCATTGATACTGCTATATCAGCAAGGCGACTAGAACTAAAATCTATCATCAAATAGGGTGGCGGACCAATTGAACTCCTCTTTTAGATCAAATATTATCCCAGTTGAAAGACTTGTTACATTATATTATTACTAAGAACCCTTGGCACTATATAACTGCAAAATTTGGGGTATGTAGGTTGGAAAATAAAAAAGTTATTGTGTCTTGAAAAAAAAGTGGCATTTTTTTGGCCCACCCTGTATATATGACACCATATAATCCAAAGAATTATTTCTCATTTTCAATGATTATCTATTGACTTTGTTGGTAGTTATTTCTCAAACTTCAAAGGGCTGGGAATGCTTTTGAATAAGATGAATGCTGATTTAAATATGCCAATTACTTGTCAAATCATATAATGCGGACACCTTCTTTAATCCATAGAAGTTTCTCTTTGAGGAATTTCCCATGTAAATCCAATGGTACAGTACCGAGCAGATTTTGAGATAACAGGAAGGTAAATCTTTAATACACCCCTTATTGGGTTGTTTTTGTTTATATTGCAGTAAAATGACCCCTGAGGGTCAGATAATGTGAACTGAGGTCAAGGTCAATGTCATATTGGTCAATGTCTTCTTACGATTGACGGTCAAGTATTTGGCGTTTTAATACCGTACTTGAAGAATACTGTGAGCATAGGCAACTCATGATTAGGTGACCTGAGTTCAAAGTCAATGTTAATCGGCAAAGGGCATCTCAAGTTTAAATACCATTGGCCCGATATCATTTATTTGAAAGTTCATAACCCGTGTGAGATCAAAATCTGCTCGAAAGAGCATTTATCAAACCCTAAAGGTTTTGTTGTAAATCCATGTATCATACAATTTTCTTTTCAATAGGAAAAACACTTAAAATGACAGTCGGGGCATCCGAATTTAGTGAGTAGATTCACATTCAGGGTAAATAGGTTGAAATAGTTGACAGTGATATACATGTGGATCGTGATTTAGTTACCTGTTCGTGTTATGATATAAAATCAAATGGTTGGCATTAGAGGGCTCATTAATGAAATAATTTATTATATTAATTAGCCTTTATCGTATGTGAACATTATGTTTTAATTTCTTGTAGTTTTAAATTTATCTTTAAACATGTAACTATGACGACTCAAATATGTATATTACCCAAATGAATAAACTGTACACTGCCTATGAACGAGGTTAAATGGATGTGTCACGTATATATCTTTTCCACCATCCTTTTCCCGCCCAAACCTTCTTTGACTGGGGCACCATAACTTTCAGAAATACGTAGAATGCACACATATACAGGATGGGCCAAAAAACGTCCATACTTTTGTTCATGTTACAACGTTGTTGATATTACAGACAAATTATTAAACCAAATATCATTGGAGAGACAATTCAATATATACGAACATACGATATATATATTTGCCCGGATATAGAATATATTCCCGGTTAATATGTTCCTGAGACATCCTCATGATAGGTATGGAATACAGAATGCCATGAACTGATCAGACAGATAGAATCCCTATTTAAGCTTTGGGGATATAATTGCAATTATAGAAGGTCCAAAACTTCCATTAAAAGTATTGGAGTTTGTAATATTGTTTGAAGTCATTTTAGAGCTCTAAAATAATCGTGGGACCTATTTTTGCATTGTTGTTCGTTATAAAGTAAGATTGCTTGATACATTGATATTTGCTTCCATACATTTTGCAAAACTCAATTGATACATGAGGAAAAAATGTAAAGTATTTACATTCGAAATGTATAAAAGTCATTGTAAATAGAAAAGTTTCATGAGGAGTTTGCAGGTATTGAAATTGAGGTCTTAACTATCGTATCTTTAATAGTTTTATTTCATTGATTTTGCCAATACACAAACGTGCACGTGCCTATAATCAGAACTAAGTCAAATGAGTATTTCAGTTTCCGATTACATGTTACTTTTTCAAATGTATTCATTCGCAACAGTACCTGTTTGTTTTCAAAGTAACTGCTAAGAATTTCCAATGATTCAGTTATCGATGCCGCATTGAGCATTTGTATTGTAAAGTTGTGCGGGACGTACCAATCGTCGCGTGTAACTAACAGTTCTCCATTTGCACGCTGCCAGTTTTGTAGTGGTCTACTTGCATATCTAAACTGAAAATAATAATCAATAGAATCTGATAGTTTGAGACCCAATTTTAAAATTTAATGCATTTCATATTTGTTACATATTCTTCAAGGGGTAAGTCAATGCCCTTAGTCCGCCAGGTGTTTCGTTCAGTAAATAAACTTTGCGTACACGCGGATATCTGTCACATCCACCGTAATATAATAATCAGATTGGGTCTTGGGTCACATTAATGCCAAACATATGTCAATATCTAAGGACAACATGCGTCGCAATTTCATTCAATCACAGATTTACAGAAAGTACACAATTACATGTGAGTGGAAATTTATGTTAAGTCACGTATCAGGTAGAAGATCAATGGAAGTAAGTTAACTCATCCCTCGACTGTATATCCCAATATAACTCAACCAAAATATAATTTATCCCAAGATAACCAATCCAACGACAACTCATCCCAAAGACAACTCATCGACCCAAAGATATGTGATGTAAATTAAAATGGCAGACTTATATTATCTCTTGTTTTTATATACAACAATGATACCATTATTGATAATTGTGTACAATACAAACCATTCTGTTCCATATCGTTAATACTAGGAAGATCAAAGCCGCAACAAGGATAATTCTAAACTGCATTCTGAAAATTAGTAATGATAAAGCATTTTACTCGAGCAGTGAAGCGTTTCGACGAATCTCCATATCGGAGAGGGTGTTACATAATTTCCCAAACTTTTCGATGAAGCTATCAGATTATCAAAGATCAGTGAGGTTTATTTTACAGGTTGTCCAATAAGTCTCTTTAAACACAGGCTGATCCAATATGACAATACAATATATCTCTCCCGCGGGTAATTCAAAAACGCAGCCTTTATTTTATTTACCTATTTATCATCCAATATACCGTTAATGCGTCAGAAGATTGTTTACCCCTTAAATAGATCTATGCTAAAATTTTGTAATTATGAATTTTTATATTGCTAGTAATTAGTAATGAAAAATCTAAACATCAAATGTCACCCAGATTATGAAATCTATACTATTCAATTAACGTTGAACAAAACAAAATCCCCCTTCCTCTCTAAATCTCACTCAAAGTCAAATGTTCAAAGTCGTACATTTGTTTCTCATATCCAAGTGTATTGAAAATTAAATTAGTTCACTACTGAAACAAACTCCTACCGCATTGTTTTGATTTGTCTGCTTTGAAACGTCGCCAACGCCAACTGTAGTACGTATTTGGAAATATCCAGATTTAAAAGCAGTTACTTCAAACTCGTCCAAATGGTTTTCAAAGATTAAAACGATTGACGGATTCCAATATTGATCTAATTATCCCATCGAACAAAGTTCGCAGCGATATAGCGAGGTCGTCTGAATCTATATATTACAAGATGTCCGTCTGTTCCCCCATTCGTTCGCTTGTGTGTCTGGGGCAATAACTCAAATTCCAGAGGCGGATTTGATTAAATTCTATAGGCTTATGCTTAATGTGAATGAGTCTTCTGTTTGAGAAAGCATTTTCAATATATCCGATAAATCTAAAACCGCCGCCATTTTTCATAAAAAGTATAAAGTTTGATAACGTAAACACCAGTTGATACCTTTCGTTCAAATTGTATATACAGAGCTCAAATATGACATACTCGTACGCTTGTAATGTAAACCTGTATTAAGATGACAATCTCTGATTGGTCAAAAATCGACGATCAAATTACGTCATCAATGGCGGCTTTTCTTTCGAAAAAACGCTTCGAATAGTATTGTGTTCATTTCTGGCGTGTTAATATATACCATAGCTTCTAATTTCACATCAAGATAAAGAAAGGTATACGGAATATGCTTACGTCAATTAAAACCGTACATCGAAGTGTAGTATTTGAAAATTAGCCGGTGAAATTTCGAACAAACGAAGGTGGTAAGCAAGAGACGTAATTATATATGTTATTTCTAAACCTTTTGGGGTTTCCCTCCTCTTCATCTGGTTTGGTAGCAGGACAAGATGACCGCTGATTTTTTCATAAAAAATGTAACATTTGATAACTTAATACCATTTATAGAATTTTGTCCAATTTTCATTGGCTATGTCTAATGGGCAAATGACCTCAGCTAGAAAGAGAACTTTTCATTATGGCCGTGTGTTCATTTCAAAAATGGCTACCATTTTTCATAAAAAATAATCTATGATAACTCGAATACCAATGGAAACATATGTTTCACATTTCATAAACTGAAGCTTTGGGGATATATGATTCTGTTCGAGAAGTAATTACAAGATGACTGCTCAATTCAAAATGGCGCTGGTTTTTTGATATAATGCAGTTTTAATAACTAAAGTATTTTGTTATTGTTATTTATTTCCTTAATTCCAAATGCAAATACAATCAAAACAGCGGAAGACACTCCAAAGGGCATATAATCCATTTTATATTAAACAAAAAATATTTACAAGTAGCAAAAACTCGTACAAGAAATCAGTGCTCATTAGAATTAGACACTTTATATTTCACATTCGGTTTGTCCCATCCCCCATCCTCCTCTCCCCATGCAATGAAAATGACAAGAGAATTTAAATGCCAGAATTCTGTCACTAGAAGACATGTAGTGAGATTTTGATTAAATAATGATGTTAATTGTTAAGCAATTGAGTGTAATTTTAAACTCCTTTCGAAGGTGGAAAGAGTATAAGAGTGAGCAATTTTATGAGGTTAAGTATTTCACGGGTCTGGCCCTGTCTTAAACCTAGTTCACACCAACGGCGAATGCCACGCTTTAAATCGCCGTCATTTTTGTTTACTTTTCCAAAAATATCACGATCTCCTAAGCTAAGTTCAAACCAACGGCGCTTTGATGGCGCTTTAATGCTTTAAGATTACTTATATTATTTCTCTCTTATGTAGTGTGATTCATATTTAAGTATATTTTGTTGTAATATTTTTTGCTGTTTTGAATATAATATTATTTGTTTTTAGATGGATATCAGGGCAAGTTTATTACACATGAATCATTTATTGATTTTGACGAGATCTGTTTTGATGGTGTTGTTCATTTCTTTCAGATTTGTGACAGAAAATACATTTTTGCAATATCCGAACACTAGTAAATGACATTAGTATATATTATAAAGAGCTGGGGTCCTAATATTGTGCCTTGTGGCACGCCACAGGACAGAGGAAGGACATCGGAGTCAGTATCACCATCAAACTTTCAAACCAGTCCGCAGACAGACTATTACCTTAGTTTTCTCAATAAAATGTTGATTCAGACTTCAAGGCATCAAAGGCTTATGAGAGATCAAACATTAAATCAACGCAGCATTTTTGCATTTCTAATGCCTTACGCACAATTTCAATGAATTTAAGGACTGCCATATATGTAGAGTGGTTCTCCTTAAAGCCATATTGATGGGCATATAGAACATTTTGTCTCTCGAGGAGGTCAACGATTCTGGTGTTATACATTTCTCAATTACCTTTGAAAAAAGGAAAGTAGTGAGATTGGTCTATAGGGATTAAATAAATCAGGTCTATCTTTTTCTATGAATTGGGATTACCTTGGCAAATTCATGACTGTCTGGGAATCAACCTTGATTAAAAGATAAATTAATGATATACCTACAATACAGGTGAACGTAATACATTACTACATTTTTTCATAACAATAGGCTTGAAATTATCTGTACCAGCTGCCGACATCAGTCAGCTGACTATATACTTTGTTTATCTCATTGTGATCTACTGGATGTAAGAAAATTGTGTCATTAACCTTTGTCATTCTATTTAAGAATTCATCAGTTGATATATCAGAATTTTTAATCTTTTCAGCAGATTTACGTCCCATGTTTTCAAAAAATCTGTTGATTATACAATTAATTTCTACTTTAACAAGATTTAATTATTCCTGTTGTGAGCAAAAGCTTGTCATTATTCAAAAATTGTTTTACTTTTTTAGTTTTTAGTGGAAAAGCCTTTCATATTTGTTCGTGAGTTTGAAATAGCAAAGTCAGATGTCCCTTCGATAGTCCATCTTTTTCAGGAAAGCAACAAAACACATGATTTGAGTGAAAAATGATTTTAGGGAAAGTGAACCAGGGTGGCCTTCATAGATATTTTAGCCTCTGACCCCCAAACCTATCAGACAAGGAGGGGATAACTTATAAAACCTTTTTATAATATTTTTATTAAAATGACTTCATTTTGTAATTGGTAAAATGTAATATTTGATAGCTCAAAAACCAGTTCATGGTTTCAGTTTAAGCTATATCAATGCCTTATTGACAAAGAAATCTGCTCAAGAAAGAATTTCTAAAATGTATGCTAAATTTGGCGTCCGACTGTCGAATAAAAAATATTCTCAAAATATGATTTTTCTGATAACACATTTATCCGATTTTGTCAAAATTTTATATAAATGCCTTTTGGATATAAACTTCTACTCTAGAAAGAATTTGAAACATGACGTCACGCCACATTTTGGTTAATCGTAGATTTTGCCAAAAGGATTTGCCAAAAGGAGACGATACTAATTCATAATGTATGAATTCAAATGTATTAGTTAGTTAGGTTTCGCTACTCTGGAGTTAGAGTTGCTACTTTTCTACTTACATAATATAAATAAAATATATGCCTAATATTCAGGCTATTAAAATGTATGCATACCTGCTAAAAATTGTTCATTGGACTTTATTTATCACTATTTTGGATGACTACAGGGCAGTTCAGTAAATAATGCTAATTTACCTCTCGAACTTTTAATTTTTGGCAGTTGTTTTTCAAATTTTCAGAGAAGAAGCATTCTACATTTTCCTAACTACCCTAAAAATATCATAATTTACAGCATAGCAGATTTTGTTAACGTTAGTTTCTGTTCTGTCTTTGTTTTTATTATAGTTCTGTGGCTGCACGACATTTTTACCATAAAATTAACATTCCATTTCATGTACAGAGTGATAATATGTACAACTGTGTCTCTGCCATATAAAGTAATAATATGTACAACTATGTCTCTGCCATATAAGGTAATAATATGTACAACTATATCTCTGTCATATGTTATAATAAGCAAAATTGTTTCTCTGTAATATAGGTAATTATATGTACAAATATGTCCCTGCCATTAGATCCCGTATCTTACCCCTTCTCAAAATATACGTAGTTTATATGCTTTTACGTTAAAAAGTTCACATTGATATAGTTCAATTCATAACATCCATAAATCATTTTCTTAGTATTTGCCTTAGACATTGCTGGGCAAAAAGGATTTGGTTCGGACTGGAATAACTTAAATCCTGCTTTCTCTAACAGTTGCAATGTTTGATAACACCCTTTATAATTGGTTGTTAAGTGCAACTCCATTGATATTTGTTTGATCTGAGACAGGACTCCTGTTTTGTGCATATCCTTTATTACATCCCATTCGCTCCCTTCGACATCTATTTTAAACACGTCAATGATGGTCTAAAATATAAATCAGAGTTTACACTGTAATGACATCGGGGAATTTACATACTGCACTAAATCTAGGAATTCAAATTAACAATAAAGTATGTATGTTGAAAGAAATGTACAATGTCAGTGGTGGTATTTTTATATTACGTCCTCGCTGCCATCTTTCAATCCATCTGGTACTCATGCAGATACGAGCATTCAAACCGATTCAAATTGTTATGACACGCTCTCGTTCGTCTTATGATATGTGAATCTCACATTTCCAGATGCAAGCAGTTCAACATGTTCAGAAATTGTAATGGCGTTCTAATTGGAATCTGTGTAATTTCACATTTCCATAACACATTCCTTACATGATTTATATCTTTCGGTTTTGCACAAAGTGTTTTAATTGGGAGTTTTTCTTCAATGTATTAACATTTTGAAAATTAGTGATCTCCTATTTTTCTAGAATATATATTGAACCTCAACTATATATCAATATTGGTATGTTTTCTCTCTCATTGTGCAAAAGCTAAAAGATGTAGATCTTGAATGAACATACGGAACTTCGTTAAGTTACTGTGTTTTATAACTGGATTTTGTTTTGCGTTCAAATATAAACATTAAGGATGTACTCACATGTAAATGCTTGTTTTCTTGGAAAATCGCCTGAACAGTCTTCATTCGGTTTTTCTCGGACAAACTACTTTTTTCTTTGCCTTTGACACCAGTGTTGAAAAAATGAACATGTAGTCCTCGTATGTGGTCTTTCAACCCTATCCTGGTAAAGTGTGGAATTCGTTATGAGGATCGCATGAAGTCTTAGTAATTTACTCCACCATGTCTATTTATATATATTATCTATAACTTATCAGGTATTATAATTGATCAGCATCTTAATTACTAGGAAAAATGAAATAAAACAATTATTAACTACCAGAAGCTTAATAAGTATATTATTCCAAGGACATTTGTTCAGAA